CCCTCGATCGATCCACCAGCCCGAATATTCCGCTAAAATATTCCCTCGAAGTATTCTCGATATCCCGCGATATTAATTCATAAGCCGTTCGCGCGGGATAACTAGCCGGAACTCGAGGAAATTCCGCTTTATCTCTGCCACTCGTTGAAAATAAGTCGAGCAGTTGGGGCCTGGGGGAATGCATAATTCCCGGCAAGCTACGTTGTAACTTGGGGCAAGGTCTTTGTCTCGGCCGTGAATCACAACCACCGGTTATAAATTATTTTCCAAGTCCGCCGTTCCCCTTATCGACCCCTTGCTCTAACCAACTTGCGCCCGTTTGTTCGCGCCCCTGAATCGCATTTGGGGACAGTTTCAATATCACCCCCGCGCGGGGTGCGAAATCGGTGCCGAGTGTGTGGATGAATTGCGTATATCGGGGATTGCGTATACACGTTGGTAAGGTAACGTTCATTTTCGCGGTCGTAAAATAGCAGCGGTGGAACGGAATCCGTACGATGGCGGTTTGTTAATTTTGCAAAGTTATTTTCGCGTAACGGTGGGCACGCGCGCGCGCGCGCGCAAAAAGCGCGCTTTATTAATCATTCCCATCTCGGTGAAAAATTGAATTTTTAACGGCGCAATCCAACGAGAACGATGCGGCAACGCGAGCTCGCGTAAAACTTTCACGTCGCCCCACGTTGAAAACGAAAACGTGAAATGGACGGGAACGAGAGGGTGGACATTAGGCGGGTTCGAAAAAAATTTCTCACGCGGGATTAGCCCCGTGGAAAAAGTATGAATAACAAAACGACAAAGCGACGTTTTTTCCTCCCTCTTTTTTTGACTGTTTCTTCTTTTCTCGAGACTCTTGGCCGGAAGAGAGATTGGTCTCGATAATCTAATCGTTTAACCATGTTGTCGTTCATCGAGATCGGGATCGAGCTCGATCCAGCTCGAACAAATAACGCGGATCGAACCAATAATACGCAATTCTATTAATCAAAGAAAGCTTGGCTGTCGTGTAAATTAAGGACGGAGAGCCTCGTTTACAACGGGGGAACGCGATTATCTACCCCGTTGATAGAATTTATCGGGGTAGCTGAGAGATGAAAATCGAGGGGTCCGTAGCCGGATCGAGCGGGTTAAACGAATTTATCGAAGTTGCGAATTAAATAACAACTTTAACGAGCACCTGCCTGCTTTAATACCCGGATAAACCGACGCTTATACGTTTCTCTCTGTTATTTTCCCCATCGGCTCGAAACAAAACTTTTCTCTCCGCTCGTCCACCCCCTCGTCCTGATACGAGAATTTCTTTCATAACGCGCTATTCAACTATAGTTATGGCAGCACCGATTCAGATTCAACTAGTTATTGGTTCTCTATGCGTTGTTATTAATCGTGCTATTTTTATTTCTTTTCTCCTTGTTTTCCTTTGTTCAATTTCTTCTTCGCAAAGGAAGAATTTTAATTCATTGACTATACTATACGATTTCTTCTACTAGAAAGAAAGTTTATTTTCTTCCTCTTCTCTTTTTGATCCATTAATATTAATTCCATTTTTCTCACGATGAAAAAAATTTTCCACTATAATAACTTTTCTCCACGCGAAAGTAAGTTTAATTCAATTATTATATTTCTCTTATTCTTCTCGAACAAATTTTAATTCGTTAACTGCGCTCCATTTTTTCGTTATTTCTCTTCTTGGAAGAAATTTTGAACGTC